GGGTCCACTCCCGATGAATAAAACCGGAAACCTGCCTGGTCATATGTACGTACCTGGCCCAAATAAAAAGAATATTGAATGCAGTGTGCAGTTCTAGAATTTACAAAACATTTTGATGACAACAGAGAAAGAGCATTTAATTACATAATTACATGCCATGTTTTTGTGTGTCTATTGAATCTAATTCTATCTTTCCCAGATATACACAATGAGGTGCATCCACAATGCAGGTACCTATTTATTAATGAGTCGACTCTTATTACTTTGGTATCAACCATTATTAGCCCTTTGTGTTGTAATTCTTCATGAAGTACCTAACATCATAAGCGATGTTGATCCGATCACCAATGCCGAGACCTGACACTACAAGCTTGGGCTTGGGGTAATCCTCGCTGAAGACTCTGAGGATGCCGTTGCTAATTGATACAACTCAAGTCGGTTTCCGGAGCCACAATACTCATAGCCATCACCAGCGCAGACCATGTTACAGTCGGCATCAGAAACAGACGTGCTGAGACTATCCAAGATATTTCCGCAGTAGCATTCACGGCCGTACTCGGTAGCCCAATAACTAAAGCCAACACAATCCGAAGCACACTTTTCCAACGTCATAGCGTCGTCGGCGTAGCTTGCACCGGTCAACGCTCGGCCACCCTGGACCTCGGTGTAGCAGCCAACTCGGACGTATGACGATACTGTTGGCTTGGGGGCTAATGTGGCAGTAGGGGCCGGTTGACTGGCTGTGGTGCTGTACAATTCTATCCTGTTGCTGTCTCCACAGTATTCGGTAGAGTCTCCGCCGCAGACCATATTGCAGTCAGTCAGGGGCGCATCTTCGCTCGTTGCTTGAAGTGAATTACCGCAATAACCTACTCAAATTGTCAGCTTTATAGCTTTGGAGGGTTCAACCGAAAATCCTTACACTCTCGGCCATACTCTGTGCCCCAAAACACATATCCGGTACAGTTCTTCATACAGCTCTCTAACGTCATACTATCATATGCGAATGAGGCGTCGCCCAAAGCTCGAGTTCCTGACACTGTTGACTCTTTTTGGCAACCTACGAGCGTATACTCACCGAGGTCTTGCCTGTGGTGCAAAGTCTCAGCTGGTGCTGTGGGGGAAGTACTCGTGCTACTTAGCGTAGTAGACGAAGTGGTAGACAGCGAAGTTGAGGTAATCGACGAGGTAGTGCTAACAGTTGATGAGGTGGATGTGCTGCTTACAGACGAGGTGGTCGTTGTCCCAGGTGCGGTCGATCCTTGTCCGGTTGTACATGATGATGGTGGATTCTGGAAAGGTCGACATGTTCCTCCCAAGTTGCTGGCTGCGTTGAAATCGTCCTTCAGAGCCGAAGAACCGCTACCGCTCACAATATCGATCTTGGACGCGTACGCAAGATCGCCGAGGTCAGTGTAATTGGCCGTGTAAAATGTATATGAGCCTACGCAAGTTTCTTCAATCATAACAACGGTGGCATTCTTCAAGGTCGGTACAGGACGATTGGGATTTCCTGTTGGTGTCTTGTACGAGAGAAACATGTTAACAGGAAGGGACTTTCGGTCGTTTCGTACCTGGGTAAACCGCGTTAGCATTTTTCCACATATAATAATGTCAAGAGTAACCAACGGCGGCTGTCACAGTGAGGGTGCCAGAAAACAGACAGCTCTGGGGTTGTTGAATCAAGATTCCATCTTGCATAGGGTACGACTCCCCATTGTTATCCAATATTTGAGCCGTCCCGCTGGCCATATTGAGGGTTAACACAAAAGACGATATGCCTGTAGTAGTTGAGATGGCAGCATTGATAGGAAACCACTAGTACGGTATGCGTTAGATCCACACTGGAATATAGTTAAAGATAATAGGGGTTCACACTCACGGAAAATTCATCATCGAAGCCTCGGCTTGCACCTAAAACTGTAGCTTCATATGTGCAGTCCGTATTACCACAGTCAGTTCCCCCATTCCGATCTTTATACTTCAACGTCAGGCTTGAGACAGAATCTCCTCCCAGATCAGTGGTTCGTACACGTATAAATCCAGTCAACTGCATTGTAGAGCCCCCGGAGTTGAGTGCCAACTGCATATCAACTGGTTTAACTGAATAAGGCTGGATGGGATCTGACAAAACCACGCCATTGGGAACCGTATCAATCAGCTTTTGAAGAACGGTCGCGCATACGCTGTTGAACTCGGTGGCTCCCGCCATGGCGTTAACCGTCACATTGCCATCATAATTGAAGACCTTGAAGTCTGCATTCCTCGTAGCCTTGATCGATGGCCCAACCACCATTGGGTTAGTCGTATTGCCGGCAATGTATTCTGTAATTACCTTGTTGTCGAATGCAGCAACTGTCGAGTCCAATGGAACTTCACCGTTAGTAGTAGATCCTACTGGAACGATCTCGGGAAACTCGTTTTCGTGAACGCCTCCAATGGAATGACCACAAGCAGTGACCTGAATCATTTCTATCTTGTCGAATCCCATCCGTATGAACTGCTGCTCAAAGGTGAAGGCGGTATTCTGCGGGAGAGGCACACCAATAGGGCCACCTGCTACTGCGTCGATTCTGCCACCAGAAACGGGAACCACAGGACCACCACACGATCTCACGGCATAATAGACACCTAGGGCGATGAGATCCGCCACACTTGACCGACTTGTGTAATAATCTGCCATGAACTTGAGAGTTGTGTTGAAGCCTGGCCCAAGGTTGTCTGAGCTCGTCAACTCGTACTGCAGAGAGCCATCCATTCCACCAGCTCGTACACCACCTAAATTTGTTGTCGTGGACATATCGTGAAAAGCTGCCCGCAACCATTCTGCGGCATTCTGTCGGCCAGGTCCAGATGCTTCACTGGAGCATGGAATGACAGTTCCACCAAAGTTTCGAGATCTGTACCCTTCGACTTGGTACATTATCTCTTCGAGTTCGTCATTTGGGGATGGCCATGTTGGATCAGCAGCCCTGATGAGGCCCCCGAGGGATATCAGGACGCCCCAATATGCGATACGCCAAAACATTGTAGCTGAAGGTGATAGTGGAATAAAATATTAAAAATTAGGTACGAATCGTAGGTCGGTAACCCTCTAAGCTGCTTCTCCTGTTATAACAATGTTTTAAAGAAGACGTATCTGCGATACGGAAAAAGCCGCCCGAGAAGATAGAAGAACTGTTCGACAAGCGAACATGACCGTAGATATCTGAGAACTCGCATGACGGATTGTTTGCTAGAATAGCCTTTACAGCTACTACATTGTGCCTACCACAATCTTTGACATCTCCTGCAAGATAGGAGAGAGTATGCCGTCTAAGCGCGGTAGCTGCAACCCCCCTGCACAATGAAATACGAGACCTTGGAGCTATGCAATGCTACGCAGGGTGTTGCCCAAACGCGGATTGGTCAGGACGTAGCCTCTTGCAACTACTTCAAGCCACAAGTAAGTCGCGAGAACTAATATAGGTCATTCATCCGCTGGTCTGTCATCCATCATGCATAGACTCTTCGAGACTTTCGACACCGATACTCTTGGACTGAGCACTCCTGCTCTGTGGCTAGAGTCCAGGATAGTTGGATTCAGGTGAGCATACACACCGAACTAACTAAGTTGGTATCAGCTACAATAGATTCCGAAATTACAGTGATGATAAATGCTCCGAGAGATATAAAGGGTGTGCTCAGGAGTGGTCTGGTGAAGGCCTCGCATTTTCGTCCTACCCTTATCGAGCCAGCCAAAAGATAATAAGTTGTCAATTCAACCGGAATTGTATTATCGAAGTACCTGCCACTCCAACTTCCAAAGCAGTTGACCTTCCACGTTGGTCCAGGCGGTGACCTGACAGTGGCTGACGGGCTGAATGAAAACTGGGTTTTATTTGCGGCCACATGGTGTTCAGCTTGGTTGCGAACCGGAATAAGCAACATGTGAATCTAAAGCAGCGGTTACTTTTCAGCAAGTTGGATCTATGTGCCATGTATTCGAACTTGTGTTGTATGCAAATGCTGCGACTGTGTTGAATAGGTATCTATATGTAGACAATTCTCATGTACATATTCAGGAGATTGTTCCCGAGTCGAAGCAGTTTTTATTGAAGCAAAACAGTTCCAGCACGCACATCAGGATGACAGTTACCCGTAATCGCGCTGATTGCTAAATATCAATATTGAAAAACGTAATAAGTTTATAGACACGACAGTTCTTGCTTTAGCGTCAAGAGCTATCGAATTTGGAAGAAGGCAAACTTCATTTTTTGTCTTCGGATTTTCCTTCTGCACTACCTAGCTGAGAAAATCTACATGTACTATGTATGTATGTAGTATGTATAATTGGCACGTGCGTGGAGCGAACCAACCAAGGGTCGATGATTACCGACCTGGAGGTTGGGATCAGGGATGGTACGGAAAGCATCTGAGATCTGGAATCTCCAATTCGGCGCGATTCTACCTAATTTACAGCTTCCTCCTTACTACCTACCTATGATAGTGCCTTTCACCACGAATGCGCAAATAATGTAACGAAGTAGGTCATGGCACAACAGCATTAAAATTTGAAGACAACATTAGTAAAATGTTAAAAAGAAGTTACCAGCTTTAAGTGCCTCCAGAGCAGATTAAGGCAGTAGATAGTTGGATTTGGTAGGACATAAAATGAAGATTATATATCAACCCGGTGTTAGGTATATTCCTAGTTATACGTAATATATCCGTCCGATAACAAAGCTGACCTACATGTGTACCTGTTATGCACTGATCGCATCAACTTGCTTCTAACAATTACCTACCTATGTATGTACCTAGGTATGTATGCCGCTATGACTAGAAGTAGGTACATGTGCTACATATCTATCCTCTGATCTTAGACAGGTTATAAGCAATGTGACCGTCAACGTTTGCTCGGTTTTTTAGCCCGGAGAGTTGCCACATGGTTGTGACCAATCATCTCCTTAACCATGCGGTATTTACTATATAAGCTATGACAGAATCCAACCTTTCAATCCGAATTGGTGTAGTGGCTAACATTTGACGCTCTCATGATAAAAGATCTTTGATCACAATCTTGATGATCCGTCAAGCCCGGGGTTCGATTCCCCGATTCGGAGTTCTTTTTGTGAACCTCTGTTAGGTTTGCTGTATTCAGACCTCAAGTGATCCTTCTTCTTTTTGCTGCCTTAGATGAGCTTCATTCAGTCCGTTGAGCGGTAGCTATAGTATTATATTTTAGATAATTGTAATTTTACCACAATGTGACGTCTTGTCCGTCTACCTAGATCGATACTTGGATGCAATTGTTCTCCGAAAAATAGTTCTAATGCATACATAGGTAGGTACGGTTTGCAATACTACAAGTTTCTAAACATAACATATCGCAAGCCTTGGTGACGATTGTGAGGGAGGGGTCATTGCTCCACAGACGAAAAATCGGCGATAAGATAAACCTTATCTTTTGAATTTCTCCCCAAATTCCAATACTGCTTAGATGCAACAGTGCATTAAAGTCATAAAGGCGGGTCAAAGTCCGGAAATTCGCTTAGCCCTCGCGCAAACCCACAAGAAAATTAATTTGATGGTGGGCTTTTTGATTTTCCAACGCTGAACATCACCAAACTCATTCTTGAGACCATCAACACCCAAAGTCGAGGTAGGTTTTCGTAAGTCGTACCATTTTCTAGATTTTGTCTATCCTCCCTATGTGGATTTCAATTCCATAATTTCACGCCTTTTTTATTTCCTGTCATCAATTGACTGACTGACTGATTGACGCCTTTTTCCTCTCTAGATTTTACGACTTCACGATGGCCTCGAGACCAACTGTCACCATCATCGGCAAGGATGGTTCTCCCTCGGGAGCTACCCACACCATTCCTACCGTCTTCGCGTCGCCTATCCGACCCGATATCGTCCAGCAAGTCCACACTGGAATTGCCAAGAACAAGCGACAGCCCTATGCCGTGAGCGAGAAGGCTGGTCACCAGACCTCTGCTGAGTCTTGGGGAACTGGTTAGTGATTTTACATATTTTACGTGGAAGCGGAGAGAGCATCAGAGGGAACTGGTCCGGACTGGTCTCTCGCTGTGATCTACAAAATGTTTTCTTCAGTACATCTTTACTAAATGCTAACATTATTACTTAGGTCGTGCTGTCGCCCGTATCCCCCGTGTCTCTGGTGGTGGTACCCACCGTGCCGGTCAGGCTGCCTTCGGTAACATGTGTCGATCTGGTCGCATGTTCGCCCCTACCAAGATCTGGCGTAAGTGGCACATCAAGATCAACCAGGGCCAGAAGTAAGTTGAACGAGTTTGCAACTATTACAAGACTACGAACTAACGCTTCAAAAGGCGATTCGCTACTGCCTCTGCTCTTGCCGCCTCCGCCGTCCCCCCTCTATTGCTCGCCCGTGGCCACCAGGTCTCTTCCGTTCCCGAGGTTCCTCTTGTTGTCGACTCGGCCGCTTTCGAGGGAGGTGCTGCCGCCAAGACTGCCAGCGCTCTGGCTATCCTGAAGGCTGTCGGTGCTGCTGCCGATGTCGAGAAGGCCAAGAAGTCGAAGAAGCTACGCGCTGGTAAGGGTAAGCTGAGAGGCCGCCGTCACCGCCAGCGCCGCGGCCCTCTAGTCATCTACGACCCCGAGGTCGATGGCAAGGATATCGTCACTGGTACCCGCAACCTGCCCGGTGTCGAGACTAGCTCCGTCTATGCCCTGAACCTCCTCCAGCTCGCTCCTGGTGGTCACCTCGGTCGATTCATCGTCTGGACCTCCGCTGCTTTCAAGGCTCTTGACCGAATCTACGGCACCACCACTCAGCCCTCAGAGCTGAAGAAGGACTTCCTTCTACCTTCCAACCTGGTTTCCCAGGCTGACTTGAGCCGTCTGATCAACAGCTCTGAAATCCAGAGCGTCCTCAACGAGCCCAAGGGTACTTCCTTGACCAAGCGCGCATCCGTGCAGAAGAACCCTCTCCGCAACAAGCAGGTCATGTTGCGCTTCAACCCTTACCACGCCACCTTTGTCAAGAACCAACTTGGCCAACAGAAGGCAGGCGAGGGCAAGCCCCCGAAGCCTACCAAGGCTTTCCTGGAGATCCTGCGTGAGGATTAGACTACCTTGGTGAGCAGTGTAGTTTAGAAAAGGGGGGGGAAATCGGTTGCATCAGGTGTTATATCATGGCGTAATGGATCATAGGGTCTTATGAATCAATCAATGGACATTCACATTCTGATCGCCGCATCTCGTCTAAATGTTGCTCCCTCGTAGACCTCTTAAGAGATACCGGGTAGTTCGTGTACTTTACTCAGGTTCTACAACATGCCCCAAATATGCTCATTGCTTTTTAAGTGACCGCATTTCCTTGTCTTCTCTGCTTAAAACATTCTCGTAGACTACTCGTTAGAATGTGGCTTAAATGTTCAGCCTATGATTGAACAAATCTATTGCAATGGCGTATTAACAAGCCTCTTCGTTCATCCCTCAAGTCTACACCGCTGTTCTCCTCTTGATGGAATATGGTATTGTAGCCATTCATTCCACTTGCCAGATACTATTCACATAGCCCACCAATCTTCGAGACTTGATCAAATATCATCTCATCTCATTGCTTCGTTAAATCTAAACCAAGAATATATCTGCTCCCAATAATATAGATAGGCCAACTGTATATGGCTGGCTGACGCATATACAATCTAGGTCAGATCTCATAAGCAACATCCTCATACAAAATACCCGTCTGGAGTCTACGGGAATAGGTAAGTAAATAATCCAATACCCAGATTTTCAAAAACGTCAGATCTTTTAGCATCCAAACCGGCTTCCTAGGTTTACCAAACCTGTCGTGTCGTTCTCCGCTTGCAGATCGTCCAGGATGGACTCGAGATCCTTCACGTTCTTCAGGCGCCAGAACTTCTGCACGCCCTCGGCAAAGCGCAGCGAGCAGGCGTCGATGTTCTCTTCGGACTCGGCGGCGAAGCATAGTCGGTAGTACGCCCATCCCTTCTCGGCGCGGATCTGCGGCGTCGTGCTAAATATCAGACCCGGGCTGACGAGGACCAAGTACGGCTTGCGCGTCAAGAAGATCATGAGCGCCGTGGAGAGCGCGGTCCCGTTGATGATGTTGCCCTGCGACCCGGGTGCCTTCCAGAGCGGGTGCGTCTCGAAGCGCATGTGCAGCCAGAGGAACATACCACCTCGCGGCCACTGGAAGTCGTACAGCTGGGTCTTGGTGATGATACCCCAATCAGCATCCGACTCGCGCATGGACGTCGATTGCTTCAGCTGGTACGAGTTCTCCTCCAGAATCTGGCACATCCGGTTCATCCGTCTCTCGTACTGACCCCGCAGACCTGCAAGCCACCGCACCCAGCCGTCCATCTTCCAACCATTGAATGCAGGTCGATCCTTGGCCGAACACGCAGCAAACGCCGCTGACGCTTCGGGCTGTGGTCCCATAATAGTCTCGGCAATCACAACTTGGGCAAATCCTGACGGCTGCTGAGTACCTGATTCACTGACACGAAGGAGGCGCTCGCAGATTTCTGGGGCTGCGGTGATCCACCCCATACGACATCCGGGGGCAACAGTTTTGGAGAAAGTGTCTAGTCTCACAACTCGGCCATCTACATCAACATTCAAGAACGACGGCGCAAGAGAATCTATGAACGGGTAACCAGACTTCTTTGCGAAGGTGTTCGCCATCTTCGGTTTGGGGACAGGCAAACCCCGCGCTTTCGCCTCCTCGATTTCTGCCGATGGGAATTGGAGATACCAGTATGGATCGTCCTCAACGATGATGACATCGTACCGGCTGCAGACTGAGTAGAGCTGCTGCCTTCTTCGCAACGACAAAACACCGCTTGTTGGGTTGTGACCCATTCTAAATCATGATCTTAGCAAGACCTCTTGGGTGAATGATCGGAAGAAGACAAAACTTACGTGACAGAATACAGTAAATGCGGTCGCCTTCCCTTGCTGTAGTCCCAATTTGCAAGCACATCCTCCAAACTTCCAGGACCAAATGGCGCCATACCATCCTCGTCCATTTCGACAGGTACAACTTGCACTCCTCTGGGCTGTGCCTGAGTGATCACGTTGGGGTACATGAAGATCTCGCTCAGCAGGCCAGGCCGATCCCGTATGTCGTTCTTCCCCTCAACCCAGATGTTGGTGAAGACCTCCAGAACCTTGGACATACCATCTGTCGAACCGACCGTAAAGATAACCTCGGGTCCACCCTTGTACGGCACGTTCGGATGTAGGATGTCGCGAGTGAATTGGCGGATAAACGACAAAAATGGCGGATATCCATCAGCTTGTCCGTATTGCAGGGCTGAAGCAAGATCTATCTTTCTCCTTACGTCTGAAGTAGGCGCATCGTGAGGCACAATAACGTGGGTTGCTGTAGCTTGCTTCGACATGGACATGGTCGCCAATTCCGAGGAAAGGTCATCGCCGTCTTCGTCTTCGTCGCCTGGGTAGTTCGCGGATGGTGTCCATCGGTCTGGGCTAGCAGTCTGGGCCTCTAACGTATCGAAGGGGAAGAAGTTCGCATTGGGGAGACCTGAGACATTGCATGATTAGACTTAGACCATGGTGGCACCCGTAGGGCTGCATATCGATCGACAGCAATTACTTACCGCCTGCCAATTGGCCAATACCCGGAATCTGGAAATACTTGTAAAACTCCTTCATTTTCGCGGGCGCCCGAGCCTTGGTCACATCGGAGAAATGATGGGACATATCCTTCGGGATGGGCCTGAATCTTTCGGCATCGTTTTGCTCCCTTGATGCCTCCATGATAGGCAAAGACGGTCTCTATTTCGAGACTACAATCGTCTACGTATTTGCGATAGAGATAACGAAGAAAGAGATAAAAATCAGGTTCAACAGCACAACGGTTCCAACGATTCGGAAGTTTAAAAAAATAAGATTTAAGTTAAGATAACATTAGTGATATGTATGAACTGGTGTGCTGGCTATACATAACTGTGTGCCTGCCCCATGCCCATAAAGCTTACTCCTTCCTATCATAAAAAGGCTATATCCATCCATACCTGGGATATCTATTGAACCTACAACCCCCGGTGATGATAAATCCCATTACTGGAGTCTT